AGGTTCAGAGAGGCGCAGAGCTATCAACCGATCATCACCTTGTTGCTGACACGCAGCGCTGTAAGAAATGGAGTACCATACGAACATCTGGTGGCAGAAGCAACCAGAAAATCAAATGGGAAACATTATCTTCGGTAGACACGAAAGCGAAACTGGCGAAAAAACATCGCATGTATTGAACAGGGCCCAATGAGACGATGGCTGATGTACAAATAGAATTAAAGCTCTTTGAAAGAGGACTGTAATCTGTAGCAAAATTCTGCGGTTTAAAACGCTGTTGATAACCCTGTTGTGGTCAGCAACGAACTTCCTGATGGACATCAGAGATTCCACTGCGTTTCAGCGAGAGGACGGTTCAATTCAACAAGTGTCCTGGAAGCAAACAACCTTCAAGTACAGTGTGCTCAGGAGAACCACGCAGTGCACCGCTTAAAGGGGTGGACAGGTGAAACCTCACTCTTGGGAAAGATTCGCTGAGGTACTGAGTCGAATTTCCAGGTGGCAAATAAAGTATTTTGGTAGACTGCCAGAGGCCTCCGAGAAGGAAATAAGGGAGTCAAGAGGCCTTCTTACCAAGGAAGAAGACACTTCGGCGATGCTGAGAGTTCATTTAAAAACTCTGAGTAAAGTCAGGAAGACTCGCATGAAGAACAGCATGCAGCGAATATTACCTTTGCTGTGGATAAAATTAAACAAGCCACGAAAAGCTTGAAAAGCGAAGAGGCTGCTGGAATTCATGAAATTTGCCCTGAAATGCTCAAAGCAATAGGCTAAAAAAGAATGTTAAAGCTTACATGTGTCCGCAGTTGGTACGGGGAAGACACCGGCGGACTGGAGAACTGGCGTTATTGTACCCCGCTTTAAGAGAGACCACAAGGAGTGCTCCAGTTATCGAGACACTATATCACTGAGCCTCCCGGGTGCTAGAAAACAGTACCGCGGAATAACTGATTCAAAGATGCAAAGAAAACAGTGTCGCTTCCGGCCCGGCTAAAGCAAATACAACCAGATATTCGCCCTATGCCAGATTGTTGAGAAATCGTGGTTGTTCGACACTCCGGTGTACATGCGCGTTGTTGACCTGGAAAAAGCCTATGACCGAATCCCCGTAACAGTCTGTGGTCATGCCTGGGAACATAAGGGATCAATGACCAGTTGCTATTTGCCATTCAACGGTTATATGCTGATAGCAGATGTCGCGTCAGAGCAAATAGCGTTAAACAGAATCCTTTCAGGACACAGATCTCTGCCAAAGATGTGTTCTGTTCCCTGTCTTGTTTGTTTTGTGCAGGGGTAGAACAGTTCAAGCGCCGCAGCCAGAGGATGATTGTATCGGTACAGATGTTGAGCGAGAAGGTTGCTGTTTGCAGAAGACCTTGTTTTATTAGCATCTTCTGACACTGATCTTCAGTGCTGCCTAGAAAGGTTCGCAGCTGAGTGCGACGTGACCGGCATGCGTGTGAATGCATTTAAAACGAAAAGCCGAGTGTTTTCTCCTTCTCCTTCCCGTTGCTTTCATCATATAAACGGAAAAGCAGCGGAGCAGGTGAAGTTCAAGTACCTCGTAATCCAATGGCTGATTAGAGTAGCCATTGGCGTTCTGCGTGAATTAGCCTGAACCACTGTGACTAAAGCAGAGCTGAGTAGGTAAACTAAGCTCTCAGTATTTAATTCGACCCGTGGGTCATGAGTGAAAAATTTCGATCCCTGGTACAAGTAACCGAAATGGGTCTTCTCGGAAGAATCGCTTGGTCGAAGAGTCTCACCAATTACTGGAATACAGACATCCGATAGAACTTAGGTGTAAAACAAGTGCCTTACCAAAATTAGAAGTCATAGTAACAATGGCCTGAGAAGGTTTTGCGAATGTTTCCAAAAAGGCAGGCAAAGGAAACAGCTGCTACTTGCTCAAACTACCAACCGAAGATCCCGGGGATGGCCAACAATGACCTGACTCAAGTACTCAAACGGCACAGACCCAGGCTCGGGATATTTTCTGGCGTAGCTCAAACGCTGGCACAGGACCCTCAACGTACGTAAAAGCAATTGATAAATATTGGCATGTTCAAGTGAATTGCTCAAAACAGCACAAAGCTTTATGAAATAAAGATAGACAGACGGCTGGAGTTTGAAATTACCGACAACCGATTTGGATTCATGACAAGTGGGTCAACGACCGTCGCCAGTCTTCAAACATATGAACAGGGCAGCTGAGATATTTAGATCGGTTTTGAACATACGGAAAATGTTCATGCCAGTAACTATGAGACAGATGTTGAGTATGAAAAAGTATGAGAAATAAATGGATGCTAAAAAAACATCTTGTTTATTCAAGATAAATTCGTGAAGAATTCAATGCATGTGCAGGTGTCCATCGCTGGCTAGCACAATGAGCATTCCTGTTCTTGATTATGGTAAAAGGAATTAATTGAAACTCCATGCGAATTCGAAATTTATTGAAACCGTGTCAGTTATACGCATTGTTTCCGAACTGAATTAATCAGTGTGTATATGCCACAGTCTATAAATCATAGGTGGCGAAAGGCCGCCATAGTCATTTAAAATTGTTGATCATCTTAAAGCCGGCCAGACTTTGTTGAAAACTTCTGTACTCTTCATGTGATGACGTTGACCGTCGATCAAAGATTCGTTCGACCATCAAATTTCAAATTAATAATCCATGTAGAAAACAACTTCAAAAAAAGTAATTAACATTTCTAAACACGCTCCGATGCACTCAAGTTTTGAGCGATGCAAGAAAAAACTGGTTGTGATTCAGCTGGGATCGTACTGACAAACCGATCC